ATACAAGATTTGTCACATTTCGATAATATCTCGTCACAAACTGAGAAAAAAGAACAAAAAACTACACAGTGTTTTTGGAGCCCCATAAAATACTTTATAACCGTTAAGCATACCTATTCCCAAACTTGACAGATGCGAATTACTCCAAGCTATTGCTACATGCGTCACCACGAAGTAATGCTTCAACTAGAAATTAGCAGTTTCGCTCAAAAAGTAATTGGTATTAGTGTGTCTGACAAGTGGTAAGAATGTTCGGAATTTGAGAACGTTGATGATTGTTCTGTCCAAGGTCCGGGAAACTCACATATACACTTTAGTCGAGGGCAAATGCATGTTTTTAGTTTTTTTGTTTGTGGACTTGATAGCTGCAATTAAGAATTGTTTTTTTTAAGTCGGATACATAAATAATCATCCCTGACTCCAATAATAGCAGAACAGTACATGGTGTTCACTTGGCCTAGATCTCCCAAACTGTGACAACGCAAGGATTATTACCAGTACTAGAAGCACAATTAGGAAATTGGTCCCTTAAGGTCACATTAGACAGAAAATCCTAATATTGCTTGTTCTTTTATCATTAAGCTTTGCGCGGCCAGCGTGCCCCAAGTATATTAGGTCTATGCCTATGGTATAGCTTTAATAATTGTTTCATGAAGTTTTGTTTGCTTTGATAACTTTTTTGTCCAGATTTTGATTACCCTTCAGGTTACGAATTACAATATGTAAAATAATTTTTAATTGATACAATAACTGGCGTTAGTAGTTGTTATAAAATCTGGCGGGTTTATTCGTTGAGGAATAAGCAGAAAGCATACTTCTAATCACAGTATCACTCAAAGAGCTATCATCAAAAAAGAGATACATACGATATTGCAATAGCTACAACTAAAAAACTACAAGTAATGTTCTAGGTACATGATGAAATATTGCTCCATTGAATGACTTGTAAGAAGAACGTATCTTTCATTCTGACGGAACTAGTGTAGGTATTTGAAAGGGGAACATTACGCCTGACAATAGACATGAGTACAAAATATCTAGTACACGCAGATACTCAATAGTTATTTTCAGAACAACTAAGCAGCTAATCGCCACAACCAATAGTATGAGGGAATGACTAGACACATTGAATTGCTATATATTTCAATCCTAATGATGACTACGAACTAGCTAGTTGAAGGAACAATATTATGGATATAAGTTATAGTAAAATAAAACGACAAACATTAATAATACTTGGGAATCCATTGTGCGACCGAACCAGGAGTTACACTTATAGTAAATAACTAACAACAAAGACTATGTGCACTTCCAGAAATTTGAGCTGACCAGATCCTGTAACTACTTGTACGTATCAGTTTTGTGCTTCTGTATCTTCGATAACCTGTGCGCGTGAATTTAGGTTTAATGAGGAAATAATCGACCAATGTAGTTACTTCCTTATCATTAATTGTTTAGAGTTTAGATGATACTTCACATCATGAAGACCTATAAAGATCTCTCCATCAATTTGTTCCAGAGTAGGTATCCACATCCCAGCATTGCAGAAATATTTTTGAAGGTAGCATTGACATGAAACGTTCATTATAATTTTATTTAATTATATGATTTTTTTTATTATGCTATTTCTATCTTAGGCTTAGTAAAAATTGGAAACCCACAATACGCGTTTGGTTATTAAAAGATATTCGAGGGTTTGCTAGATTTATTATGATGCCTCTACCTCGGATAAATCTGTGTTACGTACACCTAATAGGCAAAAAAAATATTTTTGGTGCTCTATATCATTTTATAGGTATCAAGTTCTTAAGCATAACGTCACGTCGTTTACAATAGGTAGCTGACGATTTAACTATGTTCATATAATAGATGCATTTGGTATGGGTAGATGTTTGGTTCAATTCAGTTTCACAAATATTTGTATAAGTTTGTAATTTTAGTTTGTTCGCTTTCTAACGTCAGTAGCAATTAATTTGTAGCCTAAAAGAGGGCTTGCAAAGATTTACCAATAACAAGGTATAATCATTTGATAATTATAAAGCCATTGTATTACACTTCCACCAAAAATTACTCATTGGCGGAATTTAAAGCGCTTAAAAATGATCCTAGGTTCAGTACTGCAGCTGCATATTCATAAAAAAATATTTACCTTAGAAAAATTTACAAAAATAAATATCCTTCCAACATCTACAAAAATGAGAGGACTGATTTGGAGGAGGTGATATGTATTCCCGAAACCGCAAATTTAAATTATGCGGAAAGTTATCGTATTGAATAAATATCGTGGTTGTTCGTGAAAAAGATGACATGCAAGCAACTCTCGGTGACATCGCATATTCAAACAGTTTGCATCCCATCAACTTATGCGAAACTCCTTGAAACTTATGTAGACCGTAAATGAATCTTCGGTAGGACTTCTGTACACGCTCAATACTGTACATGTCAAACTTGTTGAACCAAAACCCATCGACGCTATTAGAAAAATCAACATGGCTGAGTACTAGTAGGTACTTCACAAGAATTTTAACTTAAACAGAAAGGACATAAATATCAATGAACATATAGAACTTACAGGGAGGCATAAGCTTTCTGGATTCATTTATTAATTTGAGGTTTGAATTTTAGGTTTGATTCAAATTCTAACCCTAAATTTCTCACAGTGGATGAACAGGGTATAGATTCACTTCTTGTTCATGTCGTCAGTTATATTTACCCAATAGCCAGTTTCGCAACTGAAACCCTTCCCAAATCCTGATTCATGGTCTGGTAACAAGGTAAATAATCTCTTATTTGTTGGTCCAATATAACCTCGATCAGTTTTTATAGCAATGGTAAAATACTTATATCATTGTAGTCACTAATTTCAGGGCTTCTCTGGTGTTAGTATAATTTTGGCAATTTCCCATGAGCCTATCTAAAATACTGCAGTTTATTATATTAGTAATTTAAGGGATGATTTTATGGGAACACAATAAGGTCGTTTATAACACAATAAAGACATTAAATTGATATCATACTTTTGCATCACCATTTAAGGTGTTCCCATTTGGTTTGGGCTTCAGCTTAGAACAATATAAATGCTATAAATGCGACCTATGCTAGATTGGGGACTAACGTTTCCATATACCTAACTGCTGGCCACTATACCGTTTCTTCTTCCAAATATATTCTAAACCGCAAACTGTGAAATAATTGCTCAAATAGTAAACCAGTACTCACCATCATCTTTAGGCGAGGGTGGGCAATTTGACGCGTATGATCCCAGATGATATCCTGTGTACGAGTGTTGCTGCATCGTAGGAAAGGGGTATGCACCTAACGCTCCCCTGGGGCTCGGAAACCCTCCATCGTGACCCCCCGCGGGGCCCGAATGTGCATTTCCCGCCGGAGAATTGAAGTGGTGTTGATAGGATGTCCTTAAGGGGCCGTATCCATGTTGCTGCAACTCGATGAAAGCACTTTTGGACACCGGCGTCGAGGTGTTGGATTCATGGGGGGTTGGAGGTCCGATGTGCCCCTCACCCGCCATCGTGGGCGTGCCGGGAGGGTCTTCATTTGGGCCCCCAAATGGGGAACCCAGATCCGTGAAGTTCAACGTCGTGAATGGTTTGTTATCCACTTTGCTAAAATTTGGGGACGTTTTGAAGTCACTGTGATAGCACCACGTCACTGAGGATAGCACCAAGCTCTGTGGCTCTGCGGTCTGACGTTGAGGACAGCTTGCGGATACAACATCAAGTTGCCTCGGTTACACTTAAAAGTCACCAGCTCACAAACAGTCCATCAAAGAGTCACTGCAGCCTTCAGAGGTAACAAAAAACAAATGTTCTGTAGGATCAGTCTACAACTTTACACGACAGGTTCAGGTAGTTCCAAAGACAACAGGTTGTTAATCCAAGAGCATTGAAATCACCGAAGATTATCTGCCAATCACAATTTTTGCAACTTCACTGTTACTATCTTATTTCAGTAATGCTTATGATCAATGCCTCTCGCATTTCTTGACACAAATTCACATCAATATAGCCTCATCTAGGTACAATACAACTTGTCAAGAATTTCTGGTGTCTTCAAGCGACTTCCATACGGCATTAAAATCACTTTGTTTTATAGTGCGTTCACCTTATGACAACAGGACACTTGATATCACTCGTTAAACTGCTGCTCCAACTAGCTCAAATCCGTTGGCGAGAGTATGAAGTTTTTGGGGAAAAGGCTTTGCAGTATCACTTCAAAGAAGAGGCGTCGAGTAACTATAGACCTGATGTTGATTGTCCAAGCAGAACTGATGACAGGTCTCCAAAAATTGTTGAAATTACTTCACTATGAGATTATCCTGGTGGGCAGACTTCGGAGTAGTGTTGATTCAGTTAAGGTAGCACTAGTAACACTTTAGGATCCTTGAGTCACTGTAACATCCTTGGGGTTAACACCAAATCACCAAAAGATCGATGTCGCACGCCGCGATCCCGATACGACAGTTAAAAAAGTTAATAACGTTAATCGAAAGTAAGCGAAAGCCAATTTAAACGTATTCACCGTCGGTAATAGGTGTAATTCACACTATAATTGAGTAAAAACTATTTGAAGATCGAGCCCGAAACCAAATTACACGAAATTGAACGCATATGTCGTTTTTTTACGTTGGTAAATTGACCGTTCGAAAACGACCATCTTCAACCTACGAACGTAGGGACTATAATGAAGAATAATCATATAATAGTACGCTTGGCGGTGTGGTTTGGCCTCTCAGCCGGTAGATCTCGCTACCGTGCGGCGATACGCAAGGTTGAACACGCCTTTAACCGTCGCTATTGGTTGGCGAACCGGTTTCGGGTGTGGCTAGAACCCGTTTTACTCCCGTTGCTGCTCGATTAGGAGTGACTATCAGGTTATGGCACGCCTACCCAGACTTGCAGGCGCTTCATTTTTAGGTTAGGTTTACCGACGGTGTGTGGAAAATCTATAGAGTGGTTTTTATTGTATCTTTATTTTATGGGATGCACGTATTTGGACGCAGTGCCCGACAAGTGCCTTATTTAGAGGACGCGAGGTGCTGTGTTTTGTTGGACTTAACAGGATCCGTGCTTGAACCCATCAACCTCAACACAGAAGAACCTGGCTTTGGTTCAGCGATCCTTAGGAAAGCACCCCAGTGTTTGCTGTATAAACGCTCTGGAACTTACTTTTCTCCATAAGCTTCTACAAGGTTGGGTATAAGGATCTGCCTATGCGGTCGCAGCATTCATGCTTACGGAGGGGACAGCAGTTAAAAATTGAAAAGGGGTGGTTGGGCACGTCTAGGGGGGAGGGACGTCTCACGATTCAGGTAATTTTTGCACCAAACATAAAGCAAAGTTGGGTCTTTCCTTTTCAAAAACAGCTGCGTTTGTAATAACAAAGCTAATGTGTGGTGAAACAACAGCGAACAAGTAAAAAAATAATGAAAAACTTCACAAGGTTCATCAAAAATAAATTCCAAGTACAGCTCTATCGCTTGTAAGTATTGTTCAAAGTTGTCTGCTATAAAGACACATGTAGCCGAGCATCAGTGTAGCCATTTAGAATGGGCTGCCGAATGAATGCAGCAGATTGCTAAATTCGCACACGTAGTTCCTCAACAAATAAAGAAATCACGAAAACGATCTGACATGCACTTGCGAAGCATCGGTAGCATTTCGAAAACCCTCACCGTAAATTAAAATAATATAGACAACTCCGACATTACTATATGAGTGTGCCATTTTTGTTTTGTTTTTTTGAGAACAGATTTATAAAAGCTTTGCTTACCAGCGCGACCAATGCCTGAATTGAGTACCTACTGATGCGCATCGTAAATGTTCACGTTTGATTTGATTGAGGGGCATGACCAATTAGGTTTTGGTCAGGTTTGATTTATTTTGCGGAGACTAACATCTCAGTAATCTTAAGACTTTGGTGTATACGTTACTAGTAAAAACTGTTGCCAAGATCTGTATGTACCAAATTAGAGGACTCCATGAATATTCCATTCTCTTGACAAAGATGGCAGACTTAGGCATCCAGGGGGGCGCCTATCTCGGCCCCTCTAAGTCCGCCATTGAACTTCTATGGATATACCTAAGAATTGCTCATTATAAGAAGCAGGAACCAATGGGTATTCTTATTTTTCATCTCAACCTACTTCAGGATCTTGGAAATCCCAAGATGTGTAATCAAATGAAGTATTAGTAATCCTTCAATCAACGTCTTCTCTGATTATACTGACATTTTATTCATGCTTGAAGTATGAGTGATACCTTGATATTGCTCAATGTGCATATGGGCCAAAACTAAGATTCCACGCCCTGGCTTGGCGGGTCATATCTTAGACCGGGTTTAATTTTTTCCTGGAGAGAACATATGCAGGCTTTGTAAGGTTCCAGGATCCTAGATCGAGCGCTTCGGTCTGTAGATCCTCTAGAAGTTTGAAGGTTCGCAAAGATGTTAGCGTTTTGGTGACTTTTCCATTTTCTCGATATTCCTGTCATTAGAAAGCATTCTTCACCATAATATATGACCATTCCGAAGTAAAATTGACAAGAATGTCAGAAATGACCTCGAAGTTGCGATGTGATATTTCGTTCGGCAGATATTTCAGTCAAAAGTATTTTTTCGAAATTTTTTACTGGCTTATTCGGCTGACAATTCAAATGACTTCCGAAACAAAAAATGGTCAATTTTTTTGTGAAGGAGATGCAACAAATAGCCTATCATCCTAAAAATATAAATGGAATTTTGTACTCGAGCATTTAAATTGATCGGATAGGCCTTTGGATCCAGTTTTCGGTATTTTTGACCAGAGTTGGCTATTTTCATGACATGGGAGGCGGTCATGTCTCATATCGAGTTCAAATTTATTTTCTGAAGATAACCTATGGACGCATGGAGAATTCGAAGATAACCTGAATTTTCGCCTTTCTGGCAATATTTCCATTTTCTGGCTACGCCTGTCATTGGAAAGTATAAGACCCAGCAGTGTGTGACTATTCCGAAGTAAAATTATCCGCAGAATTTAAAAATGACTTTCAAAATGGAATCTGATAAGTAATTGTTTGTTAGATATTTCAGTCAAAAGTCATTTTTTTCAAAATGTTTCATTCATTTCTTGGGCTGACAATTTAGTTCACTTCCGAAGCCAAAAATCGGCAAAATTATTTTTTTCCGAAAAGGATAAGCTTATTGCTCTATATGAGTTGAGTTTTATTTTTAAAGCTTTAAATTGGTGGAGTAGGCCTTAAGAACCGCTTTTTTCTAAGTTGGCCAAAATTTACCATTTTCATCATAGGTGGAAGTAGGTATATGGATGTTAATGGCGATTGATCTACTTATTTATAGAGGTTAGCCATCTTATAAATATATCAACACATTATTTAATTTCCGTTAGCTTATGCAGCTTTTAAGAGATATTAGCAATAAAAACTAATAGTTCAGACTACAGTGTGTCAAAGGTCGGCTGCGTTCTTCTGATTTTGAGTTAATTTGACATAAAGTATAGTTTTGCAAATTTTCGAGATTATATTTTTCTTCAAATAACTCAAAATTGGAAAATGTCAGTCAAATTCACTTAACTTCTTACGCGACTTTCTCATTTAACCAACATTGTAGCTCTAAACATTTTTGAAATCCCCTACCTCATCTTGGGTAGCTGCACTGTACATTGAACTATCAGTTTTTTGCAAACATCCCTTAGAAGCTGCGATAGACAATTAACATACAATTATAATTAAGTAATATGTTGATGAATTTGTAATATAGGTGACATCTTTGATTATCTCAATCTCCAATAACATCCAGTATGATGAAAATGGTAAATTTTAGGCAAAATATCTTAAGTTAGCTCTAAAGGCCTGTTCGAGCAATTTAGAATTCTGAAAATTAAATTCATCTTATATAGAGCAATAAGCCGATCCTTTTTCTTCACGAAACAAAAATTATATTAGGGCTCTTTTGTCTCGGAGGCCATTCGAATTGTCAGAAGAAAACAATGAGAATATCGAAAGAAAATGATTTCATTTTTCAATTCTTCAGATAATTTTACTTCAGAATACTCACGTATTGCGAGGACTAATGCTTTCCAGTGATGGGAGTAGCAACAAAATGGATATGTCGCCAACAAGGATAAAATTCACATTTCTTCGGAACATTGGGACTTTGAACCAGTCTCCAGAGCGAGCTGTCCGACCTAGAAGTTTGAAATCTTATGAAGTACTATTCCTCCATAGGTTCTCTTTGGAAAACAGATCTGAGCCCGATATGAGATATGACCCACCCTCCAGTATCGTGAAAATGACCAATGTTGCTCCAAAATCGAATCCAAAGGCGTACCCAGGTTTCGGAATGGATGGAAAAAAGCAGGTAGCAGAAATAGAATATCACTACCTATAAGGAGTCTAAGGGATTAAAAACTATGTATCTGTCTAAAATATATTCTTGATCTTTGCTTAAGTACCTATAAAATATTTAATGATGTTTGACAATTTTTACCTATAGCCCGACTTTGACGACTACTTTTCAAATCAGTGACAGGTGTGGAACATTTTTGGAAATTAGTTTTTTTAAAAGGAATATCCAACTAGAATCTATGAACGTGTGAAGTAAATGATCCTTAACATTATAAAATAAACGTTGCATGCCTACAACTTTTTTATAGATGGATTTAGATTAATAGAATACATATGGCTTTTCAGATTTTGTACATGACGAAACCCAAAAGTGAAAGTTGTCTCCAATTTATAATTTTAAATATTATTAATATACGTTATCAAGTGTCTTTAAATTATTTTTGAAACTTCCTAATAATGCAATGATATGATGATGGTTTGAAATGTATAAAGTATCCGGCATTAGGTTCGTGCGTCATCGAGGTTAATATTCTTATCTCCGGGAAATTTCAAATAGAGTTTCCCATTGTCGGTTGTAATTGTTTACTATATTTGAAAAGCCACTTGTGACATTTTGTAGCGATTTTGCATTGAATCAACTCGCAAAAGTGTGAGATGCAGCTTCGCGAGACACATACCTATTACGAGAATTTCTAATGATTTTATATAGAGCCAGCTGCATTTGATCCATGGCCTGGATTATATATAATAGCATTGATAAACAGCGATTTCTTCCTGCGATTATTTGATGTTGATTTCTGGCCAAAAACGGTATCATTGCGTGAAAGGAGAGAGCTGCTGATCCATCATCGCTATTTGTTGGGGCTAATTTTACGAAAAATTCCAGAATGAATATCGGAAAACAAATTGATATACTACTACTAGTACTACCTCTATAACAAAGTATATAGTTTTCTTTAAAAGGCGAACTGTAGGTACAGGTAGGTACCTGCTTTAATGCTCACGCTGAATAGTAATACTAGAAAGAAGCTAGAAAGCCACAAATGTCTGGGCCTTCACATCAAGACACTTTCTTAGGAAGCACACGTAGACTATTATGTGGCTAGTAAGCTCAACTCGGCTTACTTTGCATTAAGAACTAGCTAATCGTAGGTGTTTCATAGACACTTATGTTGCAATGGGATACTGTCACATAAGGTACTTGATTATATGTGCATATTGGAGCATTTCTTGTGGCATACAGAGGATATTTATTCTACAGGAGGCTAATTATATTAGTCTTTGGTCTCAATACACTGGGCAGCTGTAGGCCAGTATTTAACAACAATAAAATTTTTACGCTGCCGTCAATATTCATCTACGAGTCATGCTTATTCGTTAAAGAAAACACAGATTTGCTCCCCAGCGCAGTGACATACAGGTACTACACGTCTACAATTCTAGGCATAATAACCATATTCATGTTCAAAACTTCAATCTCAGTGCTTATAAAAAGAGTCCGATGTATTTATGCAGTGCCATGTATGATAAACTACCTTTAGATATTAAGCAGATACCAGCTTATCTTTGTTTAAAAGTAAACTTAGGAACATTTTGCTAAATAAGGCACTTTATAGCACAAATGAATTTTGGTGAGAGTAACTTGTGTTACTGTATACATAATTATTCATGATATGTATTAGTTATTTATATCTTCGATTTTTGTTGACGTTTTGTATCATGTTCATATTATTATATTCTATTCTATTCATATAACGAAGGTAAGACAGAAAGCATGTTTGTGGAAATGGGGCGCAGAATTAGGAAGCCGATTGTAACAATGAAACGTGAGATACTGAAAATAAAAGACGGGGTAAGTTACTTGAGAGCGCATATGGATAAGAAGCAAAAATATATTAAACTGCATGAAGCAGTAATAAAAAGCGTAATCCTGTAGGAATGTGAAGTATCGGGAGAAAAGGCTACAGACAGTAGGGTGGTGAGAAAACTACAGGTCATTCAAAGGATGTGTAGTCTTATCAGGAGGCCCCAAATGCCCAAATATCGATCTGAACTAAAAAAATATCTGAGTACCTACCCTTCCGCTCTTCAATTTTCCCAACGGCGGCTGCAGGTTCCGAGCTTCATGTGTGCCCAGGGGCGTAGATTAAGATGGCCCTGGACTCACACATAGCTAGTTTTACACCATTTCAACAACAACTCGTCTGCTGGTTACTGGTTTTCAAGTCAAATAATTAAAAAGACATCAACCATGAAGCTGATCACTTGTTGAATTTCTAATTGTCAACCACCGGTACAAGTTGCAGTTCAATCTGCGCGAAGAAAATGTTTTCGTCAAACCTCGTATATATAGATAAGTGTAGTGTAAATGATTGATTCTAGTCAGATTCCCAGTACCTATAATTTATATGAAATTTTCGAAATGATTTGAAACTGGAAGTCAGTTATTTTCAGATACCAGCAATGGCGTTAAGTCATTCAAATGATCATGGAAACAAACTGTACATCACGAAGACGTATAATACTATGAAATAAGGAACTCAAATTAAATGTTAGACATGATGTTCTGCGATGTATAATTTGCAACTGTTTTATATCTTTCTCACAACTCGGAAGCGAAATATAGTAAGTGCACCGAGTGCAATATGAATTTGAATCGACAGCACAGAACGAAAATTGGATGAGTAGCAGAGTAGCAGGATCGCATCTGTATGATTGTGTGGTGATTGAATGTAATGGTCTGCATGTGTGATGCTGCTATGTGGGAAAATGAGTACTGAATATGCTGCCAATGAAGTATACCTATTAGCTGTACAACACGGGTTATTAGTGTTGTCCTTTCTGGAGAGAGGTTATGTTCAAAGCTATAAATTACTATTTTCCCCAGCTTTTTTGCATTTTCAAAAACTTTGAGTATCATTACGAGAAATCTTGTGTAATTAAGCCACATCACAGAAAAATAGAATTTTCGCATTGCCTCACATCTAGGAACTGATACAAATCTATTTGACATCGCAAAAAATTTGGTATAAAATTTAAATGACTAGAGATATAAAATAATTCAAAATGTAATAACCTTTTCACGTTTTATAAATATTCCGTATCTGTAGCATATTTTTTTACCTGTTAGTTGTAATATCCTTCACCGACCCGGGATATTATTTTTTTATTTCTCTCATTTTTAAAATTCTGCAAATTTGCATATGTAATTTCCAGAATGCAGCATACATCTCAAGTAAATGTATCTGAGACAAGAAACCAAGGGACAGCACAGATTATTATAAGCGCTCAAATCTTCACTAAGCACCTATGCGCTGCCGTTTCGCTCGTTTAACCTTCCAGCTATAGTATGCAATTATAGCTTGGACCTCCAATAATTCCATCTCTGAATCACATGTTTCATCACATCAGATCCAAGCCATGATAGCTCAAATGTCATGACGTTTCGGCAAAACGTACAGCTTCACAGCGAGTGCACCTCAACTAAAAAACAGCTACTTTCTTTCCAAGATGACGTCTCATAAGAAAACTACCTATGACATAATGTCGCGTTTCAAGATACTAAACACCCCTGCAGGTGGATTGATTGGTTTTAACAGTTATCTTAGATTAATCCACCTAAAATCTCATAATCAATCCAATTACCAACTATGCTATGATGAATTGGGTAAATAAAAATCATTAAGCGTACTTTTGAGACATCTTCAATTTCAGAAACAAGAAAAAATAACGTTAAGGAAGCTGTTCCCATAATATGACAAAGCAGGTACAAATCTATAAAATGAGACAGCGTACAACATGCCGACATTAAAAACCATTATGCCCAAAATAGATGCATTACTACACCCACAGGCAGCAGCGGTGGCCGCAGTAGTAGACTCTTTGGTCTCCTGATCAGTCGCCGTGCGCTGTGCGGGTTCAAATCCCATCCTAGGAAAAATGTTTCTCTTGGCTATGGATGTTGTGATTGTCCGTAGGTGGTAGACGGTCTCTGACTGTCAAACGCGGAGGTACCACCCGGCGGATCTCCTAGGCGGGGCCAGAATGTGTGCATGTTGCATCGCCAGATTCCGTGTGGCGTCCCCCCTTCCCCTGTATCCCCCTATAGCCCCACGGTACCCCATGGGTGTTTAGGCCTTAGGCCTTCGTGGTGGTTGGAGTATAAAAAAACCCTGAAATGATCAAAAACTTATAAAAACGGAGTTTTAATTTTTTACACATTATAATTAAACTACGTTACCTCTCCTGAAATGATCGAAGATCGAATGAAAACAGCTAGATCACTAGATTTGCTAATAACTTCGTCTTGAATGTATGAAAATTTTACAAAGTTATTAGCATGATCTACAAAACCCATTATATCATACTCAAAAGTGTTTGCAGTACGACTATTGTTTATGCGAGACTTGGTGATAGGACCACGATAATTTTAGTGATAAAATGATCAACTGATTTACCGTTGGATAGAGATCGCTCAATGGAGAGATACGTTGCATTTCCATTTTTTAAATTAGTCCGAAAAATAAACAAGTAGATTGACCCTGTACTTCCCACGCCCTCAAAACAACTTCTAGTGCAATTTTCCTTGTAGTGCAATTGTATAAAAAATACGTGGTCAGAATTATTAGTGCACTATTTGAGCTTTTCATGAAAAAATGAGCATGTCCGTACTCACTAGGCTTAATTCTTTGGAGCTCTGGTGTGAAACTGTTTGTCAACAATGTTTGATACCCCAAAAAAATCAAGTAACCTTATCTACTTCACACTACGAGCATAATATGGTAATATCGCGCCAAGGTCGTATGTGCATATCGTATCTATATGTCCAATACCAAATATGCAATATTTACAACCCCGTGGCGCACGGCAAGTGCGACCGATAGGTACACGATTCGTCGGCTGAAAATATTTTTCTGATATAAATGCACATGAGAATCGATGATATGTGAAATATCATATTAATATACCTACTAACATCTAAAAAGTCAAAAAACGAAGTTTAAACTTTTTCATTTGTTTTTCGTATAACATCCAAAAACCATCTCATAGATTTTAGTCCGTTAAAGACTCTTGACTATTTGTTTTGGATGCTCTACTCTTGATTTTTCTTAGTTTTCACCTTTGCACCTATGCCAGCAAGGCACTGACCGTTGTTGAGAACATATTTGAGGTTTTGTCGACCATAGACGTTCCACATTCCAAGTGTTTTCCAAGGATAATGCAATATTTTGTCTTGCAAAAGTATATCCTGTTAAAATCCTAAGAACCAACAAGTCTAGTCGGTCTAGCTTATGATTTATTTGCATGTGAGCTTAGACAATAAAAGTATACGAAGTTAATTATTAGGAATGTTTGTGACTAATTGATCATTATAGTTGTTCATGAATTAGATTAAATCGCCAATTATGACATGTTTTCAAAAAGCTTGTATAATTAATAGAGCAAGTAACAGACGTCTAATGAACTTGAAAGTAGCTATTTTATCGATAAACTCATGTATAAAAAACAAATAGATAAGAAATGTGTATGGAAGTTATATTTTTGAGGGTGATAAAAAGTTACAAATTAACATTATAAGCATTTAAATGATTGCAATGCAATTGCATATGATATGATACTATTTTACGAAAGTTTGTACCGTTTTTATAATCCTAGGAATAAAATGCTCCAAAACTTATAAGATACAACATGTTTATTATTTATTATATTATTATACAGATTAGAAAAACGGATACTAAACAGATCATACTATTATGTAAGTAGTAAGTGGGTATAAGTAAAACTAATCCTAATTGGAGCCTGGTCCAAGAACGTTGAGAGGGATTAACTAAATACAGGCCAGTTTCTCAACATGAAAATTAAATGCAGAAAGCTATAAGAGTTTTACTATAACTAAAATTAGCGGCTTTAGCTGCAGGATTATGCTTCAATTTCTGGAAACACTGTAGGTAAGAGATACAGCTGAGCATAAGAACTGTGTCGCTCCAATGAGACATGAAATAATGAACCCGATTATTTAGATAGGTTGTATATTTTTTCACGGAAATGATTTTAACAGTAAACTTCAGTCAAGTTCAGTTTAAACACAAGCACAAGTATATACTTTTTTGGACACCAGTGTTCTTATTTATACGAAAACTTGTAGTTAGACCAACAAACATTATTGTTATTGTTATTAGCTCACTGCGCTTTGACACCTCATGTTGTTACGTTCATCAGTTATCTATATAATATATTTTGCACTTCTTTTATTGCTATGGTTTTTCTCACTGTTTCAATTAATATTGGATTTAGGCACTATAGTGTTCACCTACTCTCAAAAAAAGTTTGCTACGTATATAAGAAATGTGTCTTTATATAAATGCTACTATAATTACATACTGAAGGGACTTATTACCCCAAAACAATTTAAAATTACATAAAATTTTGAGCTCCGTCATTTTTTCATACAAGTTTGAAAGAGATTCGAATGTAATATAACATAAGACAATTTCTTCATCTTCTTGTATATTTACCCTTAGAAAGGTTACCATTCAACATATCTGACAATATAAAGTTTACAGAAGGGACATAAATCAAGAATATGTAACTGAATTTTGACTATGATGCTCAAGGCTTACATGCTGGATAAATACAATAGGTACTTTAAAAATAGTTTTCGTCAGTTCTTGTCAAGTATCATTATCAGCCTTTATTTGTATTAGTGTCAATTAGAATTATAATATTAATTTATTGGTGCTATTACACAGAAATGTGTTTGCACAGGTCAGTTAAAGTAGAACATAAAAGAGTAAGTAAATACAACAAACAATAGGTACATAAGACAAACATAAAACACAAAGTGGCAATAAAAGGTAATTAACAATAAATATATACAATACAATAAAAATTATGCTAGGCTGAAAACGTCAAAGTCAAAGAGGTCTTCGACGTCAAGAAAAGGTTCAGATAGTACATTTCATAAATTTATTCCAGTAATTTTGCTAACTGGACTACACATATAACCGCAGCTCGAACCTAAGAGCTCATCAAAAATTATATATTTTATTTATTCGTTTGTATAAGTACTAAGCGTGTCTATTCTCTTATGGAACCAAACATCTTAGCACAATCAAAGCACCATTAATAAATGCCAGCGAATATGGCTCACAGATCTAGATCGGGTGCTTCCTTCGGGTATTTGCCAGATGTCAGAGATTTATTATTTTTTTGCTTGAAGCCAGGGAGCTAAATGAGAGAACTTAATATGATTTCAAATAAAATCCATTCAGTATTGTTGATTAGTTGATGATTCGATATGCTGTCAACAAGTTGATTAATTTATGGTTTCACCTTTTTTCTTTTCTCCAGGAATTTGTATTCAAGAGTCAACTGCCTGATTAATCGAATGAGGAACTACGTGTTACGCACAGTGTGGAAATTTGAGGCACTGGTGGAGCAAGTGTTTGAAAAAAACTGTGTCAAGTAGGTTGCCTCTCCACTTACCACGCAACGTTGCCATCAGGATTATGTTCGGCACAAGTTAGACACTAAGAGAAAAAAAATTGGCGACAAACATGTATACTATAGAACCTAAACTGATCAAGTCAGTGAAACAGCCCTATCCAGTTGACCCGTTTGACACGATTCCCTGCCCTTCCGACAGTATTGTCCATCTGGCAACGTCGTCCCTCGCCGTTACCTCACCGCTCATAGCAACTAGTCGTCAGCTTCGGCAGCACGGCAGTTACGGCACATCACTCGTCGGCACCGCTGCTATATCTACCATTTTCACGGTAGATCTACCGTTTTGAGCCTTCGGCTATCGTTCTCCGCAAAATGCTCAATTTTTGCCGTTTTATTAAATAATTAATCAAACTATTGTCAGTCATGCACGCCGCAACAGTTACGTTTATCCGCACTGTCTTCAATTGTCATCAAACAGCCATATTTCAATATCTGCTATTTATTTTCCGATCTACCGCTCTTTAGACGTCTGGTCTACGGTCTTCAGCTTTTTTGATCTGGCAGCTGTGCTCATCCGTGAGACTGTCACGAAGGCGTACCCAGAGACCAAGGACGAGTGTTGAAAATTAGTGGTGGGCAAAAAGTATCTATCCGATATAAAAGATCCGATACTTTCCGAAGTCAGAAGTATCCGATACTTTTTGATAAATGTATCGAATACTATAATAAATACTGACAATCTGACTATACATACTATAGTGTAGACAGAGAGTGACAGAAAAATAATGTACGGTTATGGCCAAATAATTTTCAACAGCTGTGGATGTCCAAGTATCTGCCGCAATCGTCAATACTCCGAATTTTTTAGTAAATTCTTTACTTTCTGAACAACCTCATCATATGTTTGGGGCAACAAACTGTTGCTTAAAGTGTTTCTTGAAGGAAGTGTATAAGCGGGATCAAACTCTAACAATTCTCTGAACCCTTCATCTTCAACAATTGTAAATGGCTGCATGTCTTTTATAATCATGTTTAAAACTTTTATAGGCAGGTTCTTAGTACGAGGAATAGACATTGGCCGCGTAGCAAAAGTCGATATTTTGGATTGTTTTGATGAGGGAAAAGGCATTCGTCTTTTGCCCTTATCAATTTTTTTTGTTGAGTCATAAGCCGAACTTCCTGGGGTGACTTCTGACTTCCAAGGTGTAGAAGAAGTTGATGGTACGGGTATTTCCTCCAACTCCGCAGATGTTCTTAAAGACGAAGGAGACGGAAGATCTTGCGTTATTACCGAAAAATGCTTCGCCTTCAAATGTTTCCTCAAATTGCAGGTTGCGCCACCTTTATAGGATAAGAAATTTTGGCAAATGTCACATTTTGCTTTATTTGAATCAATTGCATTGAAATACAACCAAACACCACTTCTTCGTTTATCACTCATATTTTATTATACAGGGTGACTTTGAAGTTTAGTCATTAATTTTCAGATAATGATTGTAGAAGGAAGATAAACCAGAATATGTGTGTAAAAATAAAAAAAATTAAAAAAAAATGTTTACCTTGTTTTATAAAGTATCCTGCCGACAAGTATTTCAGTGCGGACCTGTATTTGATCGTGAGGTCCCCTGTGAGGTCTTAAGTCACCTGATTCACGAGCCCGTTGTACTACATTAACAAAGGCACGAGGGGTTGGTTGCACTCGATTGAGAAACCGATCCGCATAAACATGTGCCATTTTTTATTTCGTTTGAGCCACGCAACAGACACTATTCACACGCTAACCGACAGACACTGACTGTATGTATAACTGAACTGAATAAAATACTTAATTGCAAAAACATCGTTCCAAATTCTTTCGCTTTTTTGTTTCCGATGCGATGAACCGGTAAGGCGGATTATATCCGTTGTTGCCAAACACGAGTACATGATATTATTATTGAGACAGGGCGGTACTCAAACTTCCAAAGGGCTATAACTTTGTTACTTTAATTTTACCAGAAAAATGGTAAAGGAAAAAACATTTCTTTTGATCAGATCTACTCACTGTTAAAATAAATGACTCAACTTCGAAGTCACCCTGTATTTGGAAAAAGAGAATATATTATATAATACATTTTGATTTCTAACACTTAACTGAAGCCGAAGGCTGACATTAATTTCTGGTTACAAAAGCCCAGAATTTATATTTTATTTTTAACCAATATTGTAACAATAACAAATATAGCAATGTAATTTAAACTTCAGGGTATCGCTTATCAGTCATCACTACTCATCAGTCATTTCTAATTTCTAGTCTATACTCGATGATACCTACTTATAGGAGACCAAGACCGCATAATAACAGAAAACAAACAGTAAGCAATAAATTCAAAGGTCGGGGCCTGGATCAGCGACATAAAGACACGAACAGGATTATTGTTATTTATTATTATTATTTCACACTAGCAGTATTAAATTAACGGATACTAACGGCAATTAATCGACCCGATACTTGATATCGGTATTGCATACTCAGTATGGGATACTTACAGATAAAGTATCGGTATCTATTCGATACTTGCAAAAGTATTGATTACCCATCACTATTGAAAATACTTGTGTATCATTGTAAAGTTTTAATGACAAATGTGTGGGGAAATATATGATCTATGAAATATCTCTAATAGGTGCGTAGTATTACCGGCGTTGAAAGCATATCAATATACAGGGTGCGGCAGAGAGGACGGACGTTTTTGGGATGGGTAGTACTCTCCGCCTCCGTCTACGAGAGAGCTGGGGAGGGTGCCGTTTGACTCGTGAGATCCTAGCATTATTTTACCAGTTGTCGTTATGGATCCTTGGACGGTGGAGTACCGCGTTTTCGCCTATGATTGTTTTGTCCGAAATGATGAGTCAGTCGTCGTCGTACAGCGTGAGTTTCGTCGCCACTCCAACATTCATCGGAATAGAGTTGTTCCCTCTCGAAACACCATCCTTCGTTGGGTTGAATCACTTTGCAGGCGTGGTGAACTGATCAACAGAAGACCAAGAGGAGCGCCGCGAACAGTTCGAACTCCTGAAAATGTTGAAAGCGTTCGACAGGTCTTTCTTCGCAGTCCGACTCGAACTGCTCGGAAACATGCTGCTGCACTTCGCCTTAGTGATCGTTCGGTAAGTCGAATTTTGCATATGGATATCCGCTTTCACCCCTACAAATTGGCCATTGTGCAACAGTTACAGCCTGGAGATTATGCACAACGAATGAACTTCGCACGTGAGATGGAAGCACTGATCGATCAAAATGAGAACCTCATTTTGTTTATGAGTGACGAAGCCCACTTTCACAAGCCACAAGCACCGAACTCTGGACGAATTGAAGGGCGAAATTCACGTGGAAGTCGCCCAAGTTGAGAGAGCGAGGTTGGAGAGAGTCTACGCGAACTTCTAAGAACGCCTCCAGCATTGCATCAACGATTTCAGCCACCATATGCCTGATGCGATTTTCTACACTTGACTGTCTCAAATGCTATTTCCTTGTGAACCTGATTCCATCAATAAATTTGTTTTCGAGTAAGAATTAACTATTTTATGATTTTTTTAAAACCGTCCATCCTCTCTGCCGCACAATGTACTAACCACACTTGGCTCGAATACTGAAATCCGGTATTCGAACACAAATCCTGAATACTGTATTTTAAATTCTTTCCAAAGGGTCGAACACAAAGAAAAAGTATTCGAATAGTGCTGTTTTGAATTCCTAGATTCATTTAAATATGAATAATTTCGGGAAATCCTTTCTAAAATACATGTGCGCAGTTTAAACTTGATTTTTTCATTTATGTACTTAAGTAAAAAAATATATAGGTACAAAAATTTAAAATGATGACTATATTAAATAAAACTTAAAATAACATTTTGATACACAGTATCATAGTGAGGTGAGACAAAATCAACTTATAATTGAAAAAATTATTTGATTTTATTAGATTTTTATAGAAACTTATTACAAGAAACCTTATTAAGAAAATACATAAATATAACACCATGTATCTACATAACTTTCTAAAATAAACTTACCATTTTATATATCTAGTTTATCTGGCATCATACACAAGTTACACCGGATATTTAAATTTATTATAAAATAGAATGGTAATACTACACAAGCACAAGAGGATACGTAATCTAATCTCGTTCCTTAAGATTTGTGCGTACAGTGGTCAGTGACTTGACCGTAACTGTGTCTGGGATCCGGCCGTGTCAATTCCGTCTATATAACGTAGCAGAGTGAACGGATTTTTTTGTGGCGGGATCTTGGACACGGTCAGTGACATATTGGCGACAGCTGTACGAATAGGACTTTAAGCGATCCATCGGCGTCACGAATCCAGAAGCACTACCATCCTCACAAACGAAACAACTTTGCATTTTGTTTGTGACAACCACAACCACCGCGAACGTGCTCAAGCACGCTTAAATTGCTTAAAACTTAATGCAGTATTCATAAAAATAGCAGGATTCGAATAGTGGGATTCAGAAGTGGTACTCAGAGTACAGAATACCGAGTACTGACCGAAAAAAGTAGTCGAGTATCCACCAAATTTATTCTGAATAGGATTCAAAATATCGAGTATCCGAAAACCACCCAACTCTGATACTAACACTAAAAGATTTAGACGTACCTAACCCCACCACAACAGCCTCCAACTCCCCCTTTTTTAAACCTCTATATTTTTTTAATAAGCAGAAGCAACTAAAAACAATAATAAAATCGTCCATCAAAATGGGCACTGGCAGGGGGACTAGGTGCGGCCGCGCCAATCCCCCTCTCCCGAAGATGCGGTTAAACCTAAAATTTGCATATTCAGCTTGACTTTATTAATAATATTGAGGTGTTTTAGCAAAACTTGCTAACGCCCTCCCCAATGACAAACAACTACAGTCGTTCACTATGGCTTCATTGATAAACATCCTAAACATCACCTTAAGCCGTTCTAATACAAAATGCTTGAGAATTCCCATGGACCGAACCGGACAATTACATTTCGCACCGATCGTTTTTTCTCGAGTATATACTTAGCAGTCGCCTCGTTAATTAATAAATTAGGGTGTTTCGGGCTTTTAGCGTCGGCGCCAGACGGCTAAGCGGTCCCGCTTCAAAAGAAAAAACAATCCATTTTTAACAGGGGTCCTTAAGGGGAGTATCAACGCCTTTCCTCCCCCCTGGTAACGTACCACTTTCTTCGATTTCGAAGTGATAAACGACTATCTTTCTTTCCTCCTTCGCGGACCTTTTCCGCTAAAATATGGCTAAAAAGATGACCTGGTTTTTTGATTTTACGATCCGGTTGGTGGGCGTTAATATTGCTTTTCGATTCTTTTGTTTTCCATTCAAGGTAGTAGGCACTTTAACGTAAAGATTTTAGAAAACTACTTTTAAATTAAGACATTGGTGATATGTCTGGTGAATGGCATTAGAGAAAATGGAATGATTGCTGCAAGTAGACAAAATAACTAAGTAACAGCAACAGCTGCGTCTTCCTTTGTTATACCAAAGAAGCCGCACAGGGAGAAGCCTAAACTCCAGGGCACCGCGGCTGCAATAAGGAGGTTAAAGAAACTTTGTTATTCCGATTTGTGAACTGCCAAAAGTTAGTAGATCTAGGAAAAACTTCCTCACGTTGATTTTTCCACAATCTTGATACCTAGGGTCAAAGGAGCGTAATGGCCTGTTCTGGATGCACGACGTTCGACACGGTTAGGATGAACAGCACCAAACATGGATAATGTAGTCGGGGTGGCAGCACTCAAATATGTGACTAGTTCTCAAGGCTAGCTCTTATCTGGGCCAGAGCGAGAAGGTCCTGTGGAGAAAAGTACTTCTGAGCCCTAAAGAAACAGCTTAGCTGGTCTAGGTCCCTCGCTCGCTGCTAATCTCCTTTTCTTCAGCTCACCGGCAGAGATCGGCTTGTATCTCTGAATGCCTGCAGGTAGAGTGCTGTCTTCAGCAAAGCTGTGGATTGGATTGACCATATATGAAAGACGTCGTTGATATGTAAGATGAACAATATCGGGGCCAAGACCGGAAGTTTGCATGCCAGCACTGAGCGAACGCTTTCATGATATCAAAGGCAATGACTCACCATACTACTGGATGAGTTTCCTCCTCAGTTGCGTGTGGTAAAGTAGGTGGTCCCTGTGGATCGCTGATGCTGGATACCATACCGCCTATCGCTAATTAGGCCATGACGTTCGAGGTACTCCAAAAGCTCCCTATTTATGCATCTCACCATCACTTCACTTATAACAGAAAGCAGAGCTGTAGGCCTGCAGTTGTAAGTGTCAGTCTAAAGCCACGTACAGACCAAAAATCCAACGCCGAGCAAACGAATGCAAGCACATGTAACGTTGGCGCTTGTTGTTGGAAGGTATTGGAATGCGCTCGTCGACACGTCGTCTACA